CTGCTTTCGCTGACGCCTGAATTAATTGCTCTTTGCATTCAAGCTACCTCATTCTTTACGACATCCCTTTCACTGGCAGTCAATTGAACGTGCTGTGTAAACAAGAAGGTTCGTTCGTGACCTCTTCCTGGCGAACCAACCCGCTTTGAGCCGCAACCCTCGGCACTCACTAGTAAACCCTCAGACAGTTTTCACGTCAGCGCTCATCACTCGGATCTGTAAGGCTACGTTGTTCGCAAGTGTGCAAGTTTGGCCATCGCATCCGCACAATACAAAGACAAATTTTTGGCTGCTTCTACCGTCAGGTCTTCGCATTGTGCTCCATCACTCATATCAGAAGGCACGACAACAAGGCGGTCTGATCGACTTACGTCCCCCCCCATCTTCTCTTAACGCAAACGTCCATTACGTAGCGTTGTATGTCAAGTGACACGAATATCAACTGTCGATGATTGACTTTTGTGCACAAACTTCCCTCTACCAGGTATGCTGATGCATGCTTCACTGCTCTAAGATGCGTCCATAACAGACAGACCGTTGTTTGCACAAGACCACTACAATTTTATGATGCTATTGTTGCTATCGCCGTTTACACTAATCACGCAATTCCAGTTTTCAGTTTCTAACCCAACATGTAGAGCAAAATCGCCCATGAGAATGATAGATTCGGTAGTTTGCATTTCGTACAGAGCAGCTTCTGCTTCCTCCCGGAAGGATTCATATTCCTCCTCCAAATTAGACTCATAGACTTGTAGTAATGTCAAGCCTTTAGCCTGTTGTTTCTTTAATTGGAAGATTGCCACTGCTCCACTGGCAGGCCTCCACTGAATCATTCTGTCAGACAGGTTGGGTCCTATCAAAGCATGAACACCGGCCTGAGAGTGTCCTGATATCAACAACTGAGTTGCATACTTCAGAGTTCCGAATTGCAGAGCCCTGGCCTTTTCCGATCAGGACATTACGGCAACATTCATTAGCTCATGTTCTTTACCCCTAGGTGATCAGATGTTCCAGTTTTCGAATATTAGCTGTGAATGTTGGCATCGTTGCAGTAGAGCCTGATGTGACGTGCTATATAATGGCATCGTGCTGTTTGCCTCCTCCGTTCAGAACGGGTAACGACTCCGTTGCTGACTGGTAACTGCGTCTTTCTTTGCTGATCGTCGATAGTCATCACTGGGCTGCCAGAAGGCATGAGGCATGGTTCTCCTTGTCGACTTTTCGCACTCTGCCTCAGTTCACCAACAGCGTTTGCGGCCTTTGGTAATCCGGCAACGATCGAGCTGGTACAACGTTGGATAAAGGTAATAACTTGATGGGTAGGTACCTACATTTTAAGGGAGACCTCGCCATGATCCCCAACCATGCACATTTCTCCTCCGGGCTTGGGATCAACGACGACGGAATTTTCGTCTTCATAGTATTCTCAAAACTGGGTGATAAAAGTGTTATTGCAATCTGTGTTGACCACGGTTTCACTGGCATCACGCCTTAGGAGTGACCCTACCAGATACTGAGGCCTCCACCGGCATGGCTTCGAGGGTCATTCAAGCATGCAGGACTATTGGCACGTCAGGACTGCGATCACGAACGGGTTGTTGCATTTCATATTCTCATAAGAAGACAATTTACTGGCAGCCAGGGCAAAGGATAGCGAACTAGATGCAGCCAGATGAAAATTTATTATATCCACTGTTTTTCGCTCTGTCAACGCTGTATCCCAGAAACAGTTTGCCGGCACTGTTTCAATGGCTTTACTGTGAGCTTCAGATGGTCCTCATTGATTTCAGAATGAGGACATTTGCAGAAATGACCAGCGATGTATCTCACACTCTCTCCTATTGGTACAAATGCTACAGATGAATGGACGGATTTGGGTATTTTCTCGCTTTCTCCGTTCATGTTTTTTGTACATCTCCATCTAGTGGAACAGTAACGTCAATAGTTTCAACTGTATCGTTCCCGTAATCCGTTATGATTTCGATCATCGAGTGATCTTTGAATACATGGGGGTGAGGGAGGTCGAAGAGGATGATAATGGACATCCAGACGCATTCACTGGATCGTATCAATGCTGTGGCGTCGTACTTGAAATTAGGCCTCTTTCAACTGTCAGTTGTAATTCATATGTGACCTTAGCGATGTTACTGTACCATGTGAGTTACTCAGTCCTAGTGACTACTGAGCAACCGGTGACGATACATTGGACTGATTCGTTGATCTGCCGTAGATCTCGCATTTATCCGAGATGTCTTCCTTCATGACGTTTCTGCCGTGGTTGTTCGTAAACCCCGCGTGATCTAGCACTGCTGTTGCGGATCCTTCTGT